CACACACACACACACACACACACACACACACACACACACACACACACACACACACACAAAAGAAAATAAGAATAAGGATCACAGTGGGAACTTGTTGTGTCGTATTTGATACCCAGTGGCCCTGCAGGGAGTGAGGCCAGCGAGTTCAGTCCAGCAGGGAGCAACTTCTGCTAGAAAACACAACCCACACACACACACAAACACAAACACGCACACACTCATACGTTCACACAGACAGCAGGTGGAGACTTGACCTCTTCTTTTTAAATGCTCAAAACTTGTGTAATGACTAATTGGCTGTTATTTAATACAATGACATTCTCTGTTGGTGTCCACTCCACTCATCAGTTCATTTTCAGGTTTGAAGGTTCAGGTACGGCCACCCGTTATTTTATTTTATTGACTCCTCTGAATTAAATGGTGATCATAATTTCTTAATGAATCCAAATGGAGGCTTTGCATTGGTTCGTCTAACCATGAGAATATTTCCCTAGCATTAGCCTCTTCTAATAATCCTACAGAAACACCTTCGACACTAGCCATACGCTAGCTACTGTGAATAAGAGAAACTAACCCTACGCATTAATCTGAGCTTATGTTTGTGCTATCATGTCACTGTCACTTCCAGTTCCTCTATTACACATGGAGGTAAATGTCTAAAGAAATCAGGAATTTCAGATTTTATATTCAGATCTGATATATAGGAAGGCGTTTAGTACAGTTTTTCCTTTCAAATGATTGATTTCACTTGTCATAATGTAAGCCATTGAAAGGGCCCTGTGGTGTAAGCTTGGCCAATCTGGAACTTCAGCCAAGCATGAAATGGAAATTCCTGTTCTGCCTCCTGAGGCTGTAAGCATTTCACTCAGACAAATAGGACTTGCGGGGGGCATCGAGGCTCCCAATCCAACCTAAAACACAACACTTGTTATTCATTTAACCTCAGATCAGCTGTAATTTGTATCTCCGAGTCAAGCAAGAGCAAAGAGATGTTTTCACTTTAACTCTTTTCTCCTCAGCAGGTACAACAAAAAACACAGATGCTTTCTTATCTATGTGCAGTCATGACCAGGTTTCTGAAAGGCTGCTATAGTGAGCACACGTGCCTAATTGACTGGCACTCAATCACAGAGAACAGAGATGCATGAAATAAAAAGTATAGGTGCTATTTGCAGAGGAAGTTCACATGCTGTTTTTAAAAAAAAAAGGTGAAAAAAGCTTACTATGTGCTGTGGTTGTTAGTGCTGCCATGTGATTCTGTAACCTCCATAAAGGAAAAAAAGCATGACATTTTTTAACTTCTAGCTTCACTTAGATTTAATATGAATTCTGCAGACGCTGTATGCCCAAGCAGCTTCGAGAAGCAGGTTTACTGAGTCGTCTGGATAAATTTGCTGAGTACACCATGCATCGCTGTGCAAGTTTTGTCCATCTGCCTAACACAGAGGCACACATTATCATCTATCAACAGCAAACAGAAAAGCCTCCATGCCATATGCTTAGAAATGATTAAAATAAAACATACCCCTCCATATGGACAAAGATCACAAAGATATTATGATCATATTGTCAGTGTTAGGCGTAGTGCTGTGAAAACACAGAACACACACTCTACTTAGCATGAGACTGACCTTTACATTCATCTTCATAGCCACAGTGTATTTGGAACGCTTTTGAAACTGCTGACCTGTCAAGGAGAATATCATCATTTTGACCTTTGACCCTGAGTGGTTGTCTGTGCTGAAGGAGGTGGGGAGTTGCAGTGTGTTTTGTAATAATAGACTCGTGGGGCTTGAAGATTATTGTAAAGCCTTTAAAAACAACCAACCAAGTCTGTGCATCATGTCTGTGTAGTTAAAGACATAACATCATTACAGTATTTGTACAGGCATCAAATGCTGGTTTAAATGTTTGTAAAGCTCTGGTGTTGAAGAAACAATACAAATGCATGCAGACCAATTTGTTGGTCTCTTACTTCATTTTTTTGTAGCTTACTAACATCCTGACAGCATTCTTGAAAGCACTAGAAAATTTTAATTTGGATGTTTTCAGCTGCAATGTGAAGTTTATAGATTTTTTTTTTTATTTTGTTGTAAGAATAAAAGCTGACATCCACTCACAGCTCTGCTTGTTTCTTTGAAATTGTGCATGAGTGTGCAAGACAGGTTTATGGCAGCATTAGCGCCCAAACTGCTGCGCTATACTGTGACTATAATGTAAGGCACAATGTGTGCTTTGTTCAGCACTGTGGCCATTATACAGCTGTTACCGACGTATACGCTCAGCTCTAAAAG